GTCCGAGTCACTCTATACAAGCCTTTGAGAGCTATCCCCTCCTAAACTTGATTTCACCCATCAGAGCCTACCTTTGGGACCATGGCACTCTTTTGATTAAAAACTTTTTTGTTCTCTATTTTGTCTCATTACAACCATGAGTACGCTTGTTGAGTGATTTAGAATTTTTAGCACTAAACATTAGATTCACCTCTAGGGACCGCGGGTTCAGTTGTGCCATCTTGGGTTCTCTGAAAAAAGTTCTGCAGAGCCCGGGCTGGCACATCAGAATCACGCGAGTGATATTTTTGTTTTGTCTTGACATTAAAAGGATCATTAAAAAGATCAATTCATATTAATCATTTATTTAAATTTAACTAACAAATAAATCAAATTTGAAACATTTTCTTTAAATGCAACACTAACCAATTTTGATTTCTTTTGACTACCTCCAATCACTCGAATCACACTTGGAAAAACATGTCCCACACTGAGGTGAACGCACCTCCTCTCTTGACATTTGACAGGTCAAAGTCTTTAAGTGTCGCTTGTCACCACTGTCATGTGGACACCGTTAAACAGTATTAATAAAAATCTGATGTATCCAACACATGACTTTCCTATCTAGTTATTATAGGCTTTTTCCGGTTATTTTGTACAACCTATTGCAGCACCTCTATAAATGTTTAGAGAATAAACTAAATAAATACATTTTCCACATACATCTACCTCGAAACATTTTTCTATAGATATTCATTGAAAACGAAAATACTGAAAAATTTAAATTTAGCACTCTTCCTCCAATTTTTCCATTACGGTCCATTTTAGAAAAATCATATATAAACAAAAATTATAGAGATCAATATCGCAAACAACTTTTAGTTCAACAATTTTCATAAAAATCAGAATTTTGCACATTTTGTCAAATTTCTCGAATACGGACCATTTCAGGAAATTTAGACATTAAGCAAAAATTATAGATAATAATAGAAGTAACTTTTATTTAAACAATTTTCTTCTCCAAACATAAATAAGAGACATATTCCATAAAATATAAAAATGGCCTCTCATAAAGTAGCCCCCCCAGATGTTCCGACTTTGTCCAAAATTTAATCATTTCACGTCAGGCCGAAATAAAACTTAAGTTTAAAATTTAATGTTTTTTTTATGCGTTTTTGAGTTTTCTTCAAAATTCGAAATTTACACATTTTCTAAAATATGTCGAATAGGGTCCATTTTAGATAAATTATGTATAGAATAAAAATTATAAAGAATTATATTAAAAACAACTTTTAGTTGAACAATTTTTATAAAAAAATATTTTTTTTTTCATTTTGTTAAATTTCTCGAATACGGACCATTTTAGGAAAATTTTGTATAGAACAAAAATTATAGTTAATAATATTACAAGTAACTTTTATTCGAAGAATTTTCTTCTCCAAACGTAAATAACGAATATATTCCATAAAATATAAAATTTGGTGTTTTTCTTTGTATCACACACACACACACACACCCACACACACACACACACACACACACACACACACACACACACACACACACACACACACACACACACACACACGTACGCACGCACCCACACGCACGCACGCGCGCACACGCGCGCACACACACACACACACACACACACACACACACACACACACACACAAACATACACACACACCATCGCGAAAATAGTCAAAACGGATTCAAAGGACCTCAAAACGTAAAAATCCGTCGAAAACTCGAGGTCGAAAAAAATCATGATTCCTATACTTTCCTTATATCTGTATACAGATAGGAAAGTAAAAATCTGATGTGTCCAACACATGACTTTCCTATCTAGTTATTATAGGCATTTTCCGGTTATTTTGTACAACCTATTGCAGCATCTCTATAAATGTTTAGAGGATAAACTAAATATATACATTTTCCATATACATCTACCTCGAAACATTTTTCTATAGATATTCATTGAAAACGAAAATACAGAAAAATTTAAATTTAGCACTTTTCCATTACGGTCCATTTTAGAAAAATCATATATAAACAAAAATTATAGAAATCGATATCGCAAACAACTTTTAGTTCAACAATTTTCATAAAAATCAGAATTTTGCACATTTTGTCAAATTTCTCGAATACGGACCATTTTAGGAAAATTTTGTATAGAATAAAAATTATGGATAATTATATTAGAAGTAACTTTTATTTGAAGAATTTTCTTCTCCAAACGTAAATAACAGATATATTCCATAAAATATAAAAACGGCCTCCCATAAAGTACCCCCCCAGATGTTCCGACTTTGTCCAAAATCTAATCATTTCACGTCAGGCCGAAATAAACCTTAAGTTTAAAATTTAATGTTTTTTCCTTTATCCGTTTTTGAGTTTTCTTCAAATTTCGAAATTTACACATTTTCTCAAATATCTCGAATACGGTCCATTTTAGAGAAATTGTGTATAGGACAAAAATTATAGAAAATTATATTACAAACAACTTTTATTTGAACAATTTTTATAAAAAATTATTTTTTTTACAATTTGTCAAATTTCTCGAATACGGACCATTTTAGGAAAATTTTGCATAAAACAAAAATTATAGATAATTATATTAGAAGTAACTTTTATTTGAAGAATTTTCTTCTCCAAACGTAAATAACAGATATATTCCATAAAATATAAAAATGACCACCCATAAAGTACCCCCCCAGATATTCCGACTCTGCCCAAAATCTAATCAGCTCATTGAACGCTGAAACAAAGCTTAAGTTTAAAATTTGGTGTTTTTCTGTGTATCGGTTCATGAGTTATGCGTTATACAGACACACACACACACACACACACACACACACACACACACACACACACACACACACACACACACACACACACACACACACACACACACACACACACACACACACACACACACACACACACACACACACACACACACACACACACACACACACACACACACACACACACACACACACACACACACACACACACACACACACCATCGCGAAAATAGTCAAAACGGATTCAAAGGACCTCAAAACGTAAAAATCCGTCGAAAACTCGAGGTCGAAAAAAAATCATGATTCCTATACTTTCCTTATATCTGTATACAGATAGGAAAGTAAAAATCTGATGTGTCCAACACATGACTTTCCTATCTAGTTATATAAATGTTTAGAGGATAAACTAAATATATACATTGTCCACATACATCTACCTCGAAACATTTTTCTATAGATATTCATGGAAAACGAAAATACTGAAAAATTTTAATTTCCTACAATTTTTTCATTACGGTCCATTTTAGAAAAATCATGTATAAACAAAAATTATAGAGATCGATATCGCAAACAACTTTTATTTCAAAAACTTTCATAATAAAAATCAGAATTTTGCACATTTTGTCAAATTTCTCGAATACGGACCATTTCAGGAAATTTTTACATAAAACAAAAATTACAGATAATAATATTAGAAGTAACTTTTATTTGAACAATTTTCCTCTCCAAACATAAATAACAGATATATTTCATAAAATATAAAAACGGCCTCCCATAAAGTACCCCCCCAGATGTTCCGACTTTGTCCAAAATCTAATCATTTCACGTCAGGCCGAAATAAACCTTAAGTTTAAAATTTAATGTTTTTTTCTTTATCCGTTTTTGAGTTTTCTTCAAAATTCGAAATTTACACATTTTCTCAAATATCTCGAATACGGTCCATTTTAGAGAAATTATGTAGAGAATAAAAATTATAGAGAATTATATTACAAACAACTTTTATTTGAACAATTTTAATAAAAAAATATTTTTTTTACATTTTGTCAAATTTCTCGAATACGGACCATTTTAGGAAAATTTTGTATAGAACAAAAATTATAGATAATAATATTAGAAGCAACTTTTATTTAAAGAATTTTCTTCTCCAAACGTAAATAACAGATATATTCCATAAAATATAAAAATGACCACCTATAAAGTACCCCCCCAAATGTTCCGACTCTGCCCAAAATCTAATCAGCTCATTAGACGCTGAAACAAAGCTTAAGTTTAAAATTTGGTGTTTTTCTGTTTATCGGTTCATGAGTTATGCGTTATACAGACACACACACACACACACACACACACACACACACAGACACACAGACACACAGACACACAGACACACACACACACACACACACAGACATCATCGCGAAAATAGTCAAAACGGATTCAGGGGACCTCAAAACGTAAAAATCCGTCGAAAACTCGAGGTCGAAAAAAATCATGATTCCTATACTTTCCTTATATCTGTATACAGATAGGAAAGTAAAAATGAATGTATAAAGAAATTTAAATTTGAAAATATTATTAATAGTAATAATTATGATTTAGCAAGTTGTGAATATCCTGAAATATCTAATTTTGGGAGCGAGGATGACTAAGAACTTGTTGGATATGTTTGTGGACAGTAGGTAGACTTTTTTATAATTATAAAGTTTTCGACGTGTCATCCTGTATATTCATCTTTTAACTGCTTTAAGAACTTCCCTTTTGGTTCCATAATTTCGACGTGACTTTTTTTTTTAACTATTTATAAAATGTTCTACCTCTTTCTCATTTACAGGAATCAGATGCACAGTGTTTTCTAATTTGAGTATTTCTTCAAAATAATAATTTAATATTTTGCAAACATTTCCTAAATTATAAATTACTACAACGTACTGATTTGTTGCTTTTAAGTCGTCTCGACTCTAATTGTATTCCATTTATTTTTGTTTTCTTTGTTAACGGTTTCTTAGAGACTTGTTTTTGTTTGAAATTGAATTGAAATTAAATTATCATTTTATTATAAAAGTTCGTTTTATGTTAACCCTTTAAAACAGGGAATAAATAGTAATTCATAGAGGAAAATTATAATTAACTTTTCTTTAAGCAAATATGAGAATTTTTAAATGTTAAAATAATCTTAAACTAATACAAAAATGAAAATTATTCTTTAATACTTACATTTCTTTCATAAACAGTCCACACTTCGCTATAATAACAAATTTAAAAATACATCCTTTTTTCGGCTACTTCGATATGTAAAAGCGAGAAAATCGGCGCGAATTCGCGAATTTTCCGGTTATCGAAGAGCAGCGAGCTTTCCTTCGCCGAAGCATTCGCAAATCTGAGCTTTCTGAGCTTCCGTAGCAAACGATAGTTTCACTGTGTTGACGGCGGACAGGTAGAAAATATTATACAATAGGAGTTTGCGCGAGATTTTGTACAAAGTGAATGTTTCGGCTGATACTGGTTATCGTCTGCTTCATTCTTTTACTGTAATCACTTAAATTTACTAATCGGAAAGATCAAAACTAAATACTATAGCAAAAAAATTAAAAAAAAATTATCAAAAATCTTTGGCACTGCATTACCGAAAGAAAGAAAAAGAAGCCACTTTTGATTATGGATCCATACATTAGAACTGGTGTGAACTTAGCAGACCAAACTTGGCAGCCAAAATGGCGAAGGAACCCGAGTGAACAGTGGCGTCGGTTCCAGGTTAATACATTTTATTAAATAAATATTGCGGTAATTATTAAATAAAAAGTAGAAGTAAGAACATTTAAAAAATATATAAACCATAAAAGATATATTAAGTCAGATTTAAGAATATTTGTATAATTTGTTAGCAGACTATTTATTTTTAGTTTTTTTATGTTCTTTTGATTTTTTCTCACTCTTTGACGGCTTGCGATAAAATGACAGTACCACTATTATATATAAGTATGTCAAGACTTATTGTGTTTAAAATATGAACTTGATAGTATGTCTAGTTATGGAGGTATTGTAGATAATTTGTTAGCAGCCTATTTATTTTTAGAGTTTTTTTATATTCTTTTAATTTTTTCTTACTCTTTGACGGCTTGCGATAAATTTACAGTACCATTATTATATATAGATATTTTAAGACTTATTGTGTTTAAAATATGAACTTGATAGTATGTCTAGTTATGAAGCTATTGTAGATAATTTGTTAGCAGACTATTTATTTTTAGTTTTTTTTATATTCTTTTGATTTTTTCTCACTCTTTAACGGCTTGCGATAAAATAACAGTACCACTATTATATATAAGTATGTCAAGACTTATTTTGTTTAAAATATAAACTTGATAGTATGTCTAGTTATGGAGGTATTGTAGATAATTTGTTAGCAGATTATTTATGTTTAGAGTTTTTTTATATTCTTTTAATTTTTTCTTACTTTTTGACGGCTTGCGATAAATTGACAGTACCATTATTATATATAGATATGTCAAGACTTATTGTGTTTAAAATATGAACTTGATAGTATGTTTAGTTATGGAGGTATTGTTAGCAGACTTTTTATTTTTAGAGTTTTTTTATATTCTATTAATTTTTTCCCACCCTTTGACGGCTTGCGATAAATTGACAGTACCACTATTATATATAGGTATGTCAAGGATTATTCTGTTTAAAATATGAACTTGTTAGTATGTCTAATTATGGAGCTATTTTAGATAATTTGTTAGCAGACTATTTATTTTTAGAGTTTTTTTATATTTGATTTAATTTTTTCCTACTCTGTGACGGCTTGCGATGAATTGACAGTACTACTATTACAACCTCTAATGAGGTTGTTGAATCCTAGACAGGCGCAATTTTTGTGAAGAATTGTAATCAAGTTTTTAATAGTTTAAAAGTTATAGAAAATTCTCTAATCTTACAAAGTGTTTACATTTGGTTAACAGTACAAGTAGTGCTTCTTATAATTTTAAAAAGTGCATCATAAACCTGAGTTTGTGTTCACCTGCATATATCAAGGTCAGTCAAAAATCAATAATTTCTACTCCCACTATGTACAGCTGTGCAAACTGTTCAAAGACAATCGCCGAGCGAGAATCAAAAATTCAGTGCGATGCCTGTAAGCAAAACATACACTTAGCGTGTACTGATTTGCGAGCAGAAGATCGCGTAACTAGGCACAAGATGCGTGGTATAAAAATTCTGTGCAATACTTGTACATCTAATTTTGAATCTTTTGCTAGTCTTCAATCAAAGATTGACAAGATAGATGATAAAACTACCGTTATAAATGGAAAGCTAGAAGTAATTGAAAGTAAACTATCTACAGTTGATTATTTTTCATCCCCGCAGTTTACTAATAAAATTGCAAATGAAGCAGTTGATCGCATAAATCGTGCGAGAAATGTTTTTATAAGAGGTGTACCGGAGATTGTAGGAGATGTTCAAACTAAAAAAGATCATGATAATTCTATTATCCAAGACATTTTGCACACTGTAGAATGTGATCAGAATCCGGTTACATTCTTCCGCGTTGGCAAGGACAATACCAAATTTCCTAAAATGATCAAACTAATAATGCATAACGAATATGACGCAAGGCATATTTTGCGAAACAAAAAGAAACTTCTAGAAAAAGCCTCCACTAAAAAAATAACTATTATCGATGATAAAACGCCCAATCAAATTGAATGCCTAAAAGAATTAAGGACCGAACTTGAGTTAAAGAAAAATAATGGAGAGCAGGACTTAACTATAAAATATATACATGGTGTCCCAAAGATCGTGAAATTTCGTCAATAATCTCGATAAATTTTGTTTTTACGACTGGCTATTTTTATATACGAACTTGGCAACCCTCAACTCTAAATTTAATGAATTATTATGCTCTGTACAAAATTTAAAACCGAAGATCATTCTTATCACAGAAACATGGTTAACTTTAAATGATTCTGATTCTATGTATGATATTTTGAATTATTCTCTATACAGATGCGATCGAAGAGACCGTCGCGGTGGAGGTGTCTGTATTTATTTATCATCAGATATTACACAACATTTTTTTGTTACTCCTCTTGACATTAGTGTCCCTAATATGGAATTATTAGGTTTAAAAATTTATTCTAGCTCTATTACTCTTCATTTAGTCTGTATTTATCGTCCCGGAGACTCTCAACTAGCTGAAGATACAATCCTTATTGAAAAACTTGAATATCTGTCTTCACTAGAAAATATCATTATTATTGGTGATTTCAATTTCCGAGATATTTCGTGGCCAGTTACTCTCACTCCAAGTGATGTTGTAAATTCAAAAAATAAATTTTTGAACTTTGTTCTAAGCTCTAATTTACAACAACTTATAACAGATCCAACACGATTCCGAGTCAACAATATTCCTTCCACGCTAGATTTGTTATTTGTAAATGATAAACAATTATTAACTGACCCTATCATTCAATCTCCGATAGGAATATCGGATCATGCAGTTATCATAAGTCGTATACAGTTTAACATAGAGAACCCATCTCACAAAGATCATACTTCATCTTATGAAATCATCGATTTCGATAACTTAAATCGTCATTTATCTACCATCGACTGGATAGAAACATTGGGGGACTCGGGAGATCCGGAAGAAGTATGGAATAAGTTCGCAATTTTTATTGCTACTCATAAAATGCAATACTCTAAAAAGAAGGTGTTTTATAAAAATAAATTAAAACCGTGGATCAACGGAGAACTAATATCCTTGATTAGACATAAAAGTAAATTATGGCGTAAATATAAGCGGTCAAATAGTATTGTCGATCTAGAATATCACAAAAATTTTTCCAAGGACCTAAAGAAATTTATAAATGAGGTCCGAGAAGAATATGAAGAGTCAATAGCATGCAGCCAAAACTGTAAAAAATTATACAAATATATTAGATCTTCACTGTCATCAAAAGTATCCATTCCTTTACTAAACAAAGAAGATGGAAGTCCCTGCCAAAATAATTTCGAAACGGCTGAACTTTTAGCTAATACCTTCACAAAAGTTTTCACTAATGAACCTCCCCAGGATCAGTTACCAGATATCTCACCCGAAAGAATCCATTCTTCCTTAGAACGGCTCAATTTTACTCCTGAAATTGTCAAACGTCACCTTTTAAAATTAAAAAACAATTCCTCTCCAGGTCTAGATCAAATATCTTCTCTATTTTTAAAACAATGCTCTAATACCATATCAGTTCCTTTATCTATTATAATGTCTTTGTCTTTTAATACACACACATTACCCTCTATCTGGAAAACAGCTTCTGTAACACCCATTTTCAAGAAAGGAAACAAACTAGACTCTAATAACTACCGCCCAATCAGCCTCACACCCATAATCTGTAAAGTTATGGAATCCATAATAACAGAGCACGTTTCTCAGTTTCTCTTAGCGGAAGAAATCATTCCCAAACAGCAACATGGATTTGTAAAAGGGCGATCAACCATGACCAATTTGCTTTGGTGTGTAAATGAGTGGACCGTTTCATTAGACAGGAAAAAACCTATAGACATTATTTACCTGGATTTTGCGAAAGCTTTTGATCGTGTGCCGAAACGAAGATTACTACATAAGTTAGAACACCTTGGTATACGTGGTGATTTACTTAAATGGATCGAGTCATTCTTAACTGATAGAAAGTACTGTGTTAAAGTTGGAAATTCGCATTCACTTGAAAGACCAGTCTTGAGTGGGGTTCCTCAGGGATCAGTTCTGGGTCCACTCTTATTTATAATATATGCCAGTGACCTTCAATTCCATATCAAGTGCAACAATATTTTTTACGCAGATGACACTAAAATATTTAGTGACCCGTCTCTGAACTTCCAACAGCTTCAAGATGACCTTGACTCCATCTATAACTGGTGCTCAGATTGGATGCTACCTCTAAATACAAATAAAAGTGTAGTTCTCCATATTGGTAAAAATAATCCTCGTCATAATTATTTTCTAAACGGTCATACGTTAAATAAAGTTAAATCTTACAATGATCTAGGTGTTATAATTACTGAAAATCTCAGCTGGTCTGAGCACGTTCTTCAAGTGTCAAAAAAGGCGAACACGAAAATGTACTTATTAAAGAAAACATTCGCAAAAGTGTCTTTTCAAAATTCTATCCGGCTGTATAAATTATACATTCGTCCGATTATCGAGTACTGCGGAGCTGTGTGGTGTCCGGAACTAGTGCGGGATAAAAATATTCTTGAAAATGTTCAGCGCCGATCAACCAGACTATTTTTCGGACGTATGAGACCTAATTACGCAGAGAGACTACATATGGCTGAACTACAAACGTTTGAAAATCG